TTCATTTTCAAAGTTTTTAAAACTTATTTTTGCGTTAAACTAAGGTTTGCTTCGCTAAATTAAATCATTGTGCTGTTTCTTCCATTGCCAAAATTCAAATTTCAAAAAGCTCCTGGTCGCAGTGGTTAGAGTTCTGACTCAAAACCAAGAGCTCCGATGTTCAATGCTGGCTCTGGCCCAATAAGCAACATTGGTAAGAAAGGATACGAGAATTTCCTAGTTAAATTTTTTTCCCGGTGCTCTGTAATTAACCGAAAGGAATACTGGAAGCACTATAACAATCAAAATAAAATGTCAAATTACCTTAGCATAGTTACATAATCTTATGGATCCGGATGTAATCTTATGGATCCGGTTTCAATCAAGTATAAATAGTTTTTTTTTTGTTTTTGTTTTGTTCAACTAAATTGAACAGATAACCTCTACCTATTCAAACAAGACAAAAAACTTTTGTCTAACCAAATAAAAAGAAAATATTTTTGTCCAATCAAATTAATCAAACTATTTTTTGTTTAATTAAATTAAACAAAAAAGCTATATAACCTTAATTCTAATTCCTGTATTTTGGATTTCAAAAAAAAGTTGTTCATGCTAACTTGTCATTGAACAGCATTAACATTTTGCCAGAACTGATGAACTGGTTCTAACCATATGAAGAACTGGTTCTAACCATATGAAGAACTGGTTCTAACCATATGAAGAACTGGTTCTAACCATATGAAGAACTGGTTCTAACCATATGAAGAACTGGTTCTAACCATATGAAGAACTGATTCTAACCATATGAAGAACTGGTTCTAACCATAAATAAATCAAAATTAAACTAGAATAGAAACCGAAACAAAAAAAATCATAATAGTAAAAAGTGTGAGTGTTTTTTTTAATAAAAAAAAAACAATATTTATAAAGTTATTATTATTGAAATCCAACAGCAGAACAATTTCATCACTAAAAAGAAGTAAACTGTTTAACGTAACACATAGTTGTACCACAAGAATAATAAAACAATCTTATAAAATTGATGATGTTAAAGAAAAGCCGGAACTGTTTATGCTTGTTTAGCAATTAAGCATTTATAAATGTTATGGGTTTCTTTTCGGCTAAAATAAGCCGGAACTGGACGACTGAAGTTAATTATTCCAAGGGCTAAAAGTTTCATTCATTGTTATACAAAAGCATATATGTTTGCAAGTGATTCTAAAATTTTAAGTGATATTTTCTACTGATGTTACACCACGTGCAATGCTAATGGGAACATGTTTGTGCAAACAACTCCATTTAAAAATTGATAATTTAGCAAAATAAATTGCCGAGCATGTTCTAGCGAAAAAAATCTAGGCTTTCCAACGAAATATTTAAGATTATCTTATGTGAGAAATACGTAGACTATTCAGCGGCAGATTGTTTTCTATAAGATACACAAAGACTAGACTAATCTAATAACCCAATACTAATCTGAAAACACAATAATCTGAAAACTTCATGTTATAAATTATTGCTTTAAAAACATGATTTGGTGTGCCATTTCAGCTAATAAAAATTTATGGTTAATGCTTTCAAATACCATCTTAAATGGCCGTATTTATTTTGCAATATTTAAAAAAAAACTTTAAATATTCATAAACGCAACCAATACTCACAAATTTTAGCACTACAGAGATCACAGGGTGACGGGAATTCCTACTAAAAGAACAAGCATGTAAATAAATGGTTATATAAAATTGAGATTGAAGTAGTAGACTGATGGCCTGGTAATTTACCCAATTTCAATCCGGTTAAATATTGCTAGAATTATCTTGACAATGAAATCCTACTAAGATCCTTTCTGTCAACAACCTTTCAACAACTGCAAGAGAAAAGCAGGCCAATCTATTGCTCCTAATACAAAGGTGCTAAGCAAGTCACTAAGCAGGTCAATTTATTACACTTGAATTTTTTAGGAAAGTTTTTTAACTAAAGCCAATCCGTTTAGCTAATTTTCTGGAAGCTCAAAGACACGATACCAAGTATTTAATTGATGACGTTACATCTACAGAAAATTTATAAGTAAATTTTGTCGCATGACACGATTACATTTACAATATCATATAAAAAAAATTACACAACTTTGATTGTGATTACACAACATTGATTGTGATTATTGTATATTTAAAACAGTTGAAAACAATCTTTTGTTTTTGTGTGGTACTTTTTAGCGTGAATTACTTTTTTGCTATCTTAGTTATTGTTAACTTAATTTTAGGCACTTCTTTTGTAAATTTTTGAAAAGGAAAAAATAGAAAAAAAGTCTTTCTTTTCTATCCATTTTTTTTTGTCTGTGAAATTTATTGTAAAAAAGTGCTAGAGTGGGATGTATTTAAAAAAGTTTTTGATACTTTGCAACCAGTTTGTATATAATGGCATCCAATTTTTATAAGTTAAAAAGAATTGTTAATAAACCATACTGTCTTGGTTGCTGTGTTGGTTTGGTTGCTGTAGTTTGTTGCATTATCTTGTAAAGTTAAATTTTTATTAAAGGTTTCAACTTCCATGTTGTTGTTTCAATTTTGCTCAGACAGACTAAAATTTGTTTAGGTTCCCATAAAGTAACTTTTAGTCCATTTAAACTTTTATTGGAGGTCATGGAAGTGTTTGTGGAATATTTTGCAATTAATCATTCTTGAGTTAGTTTCTTTAATAAGGCAAAATAAAAAGTAAATAAAATTCTTACTTGCAAAAAATTTCTACTTTTTTTCGTTGAATCCAAGTAAAAAATATTTTAATATAAGTTTTCAATGTTGCCGAGTTAAAAAAAAAAAAAAGAATAACTATTTAAAATTTTTTAACTTTATTTTATTTCAAAAAAAATTATTTGGTAAAAAGTGAAGTCAATTTTTGTTTCTCCAAAAATATTATTTTCAAAAAATCTTTAGAGCACTTTAATAGAAACGCTACCCAGCCACTATCTACCGCTACCCAGCATTTGGTCCTAAAAAAACGTCTTTTGACCGTTCAAATGACCCCTTTTTAGGACCAAATGCCGGCTGGCTAGAAGTCTCTGAAGACTTTTAGATATTTTATTTTATTAACAATTTTTGTGGGATAATTTTAATCATGATTTAAAGTTGATAAATTTTACATTTGGCTGTTCTATATGCTTTATATCTTAGCGATGCTTAAGTTGTTTAACAAATTTTCATTGTTTAGATGATTGTTTAATATTTTGTGCGAAACTAATTAATTTAAACTTTTTTCATTTAAAGTAAATTATTTATAATTAAGTGCATAATTAAGAAACTGATACCACTTCACCTACATATATATTAGCGCTGCAACACATAAGAGTAATCGACGTTATAACTAATTATAAAATTGACCTTATTAATCGACGTTATAACTAATTATAAAATTGACCTTATTAAGTTCAAATATTGTTGATGTTCTAACACCACTCCATATATCCCATAAAATAAAGATATTATTTTTTACTTAGAACGAGTCTAGATACCTTTCCTTTTGAATTTTCAACAAATGGCCTAGCAATCTATAATCTGGTTTATTTTTTTTTATTATTTAATTTTTCCTAATTCAAGTGGAGGTTTGGCTTTTTATTTCTGCTCTCCAGAAAATTAAAAACTTTAGAACACCAAACGTTTTACCTGCTATTTCAAACAGTTTTGTTTGTTTTTATAAGGTTTTTTTTACAAAGGTCTTTGATTTTTTTAAGAACTGTTTGGTTGTTTTTATTATCTTTTCCATTTTAGTGAAAAGTTTTTTTTTCTTTTTTGTGTGCTCCCAGAAGCCCTTGGTTTTTTATCACAGAGCACCGCGGAAAAACGTTTAACTTTATGAAGTTTATTTTTCGTTCTTTATTTATTGTGCTAGAGCCAGCGTCGAACCTTGGACCTATTGGTTCTGAGACAGTACTCTTTCCACTACGCCTAACCTACTCTTTAATGAAAGTATAAAATATTGTAAACACAAATTTTTTATGGAAAGATTTGGTCACTAAAAGTTAGTTTAACTAGCTGATTAAATATCTCCCAACCAGTTATTGTTTAAAACTATGACTATAATAATAAGTACTAACAAAATATAAACCGCCAAAGTAATAAACATAAAATGAAAGTTAAATCTATTTTTAAAGTAATAATTGACAATTCAGTCATAGACATAAAAAAATTTATAAAAAGTTAAAAACTGACTAATAACTAAATACTAATAAATAATAGAATGTTTATAAATAATGCAAACTAATATTTTTGTATTATTTATAAACATTGCAAAGGTTGGATACGTAATACAATATGTATATGCATAAGGAAATATAGGGCATGGTGGCGAACGTTTTGAAAATCCTAAATTTTTGCAAAACTAGCTGTCATAAAGCAACTATAATTTTATTAATAAAATTTGTAATAAAAATTAAAATATAAAGTTCGAAAATTTGTCATCTGACTGGGGCGAGATTATTATGCGTTTTCTGACTACAATGTTATAAAATTTTAAAAACTATCTAGCTAACTAATACTCGTTGCTAATATAATAGAAATACTTTTTAAAAAATTATACCCGAAAGATACCATTCATCTTCCTCTTTGTGTGTGTTTATATATATATATATATATATATATATATATATATATATATATATATATATATATATATATATATATATATATATATATATATGTATATATATATATATATATATATATATATATTATATTATATTATATTATATTATATTATATTATATTATATTATATTATATTATATTTTATTATATTTTATTATATTATATATTATATTATACTTATATCTATAAAGTTTCTTATATTAAAATAATTATAATAAAATACAATGAATATATTAAATAGTACTAGGTTTTTCAGTATTTATCATCAGTGGTACTATTACAAATGTTATAATCACGATTTTGATATATGTAAAAAGTTATATAATAGAAATATTTAATTGTAGTAAATAACTATGAAATACGTTTATTATAATAAGAAGTATTAGTCAAAGGTGTTATTTTTTTGTTTATGAAAATAATTTACATAGGTCAACAATATATTTTCATTTTTTAGTTCGTATTTTCTTGCAGTCATATACATGATTGTATCTATTTATCTATTTATTGAATTGCCTTTTTTACTTCTGGAAAATAACAAAAATATCATCATTAGTGCTATTGTTGTATTCTTATCATTAGTGCTATTGTTGTATTCTTATCATTAGTGCTATTGTTGTATTCTTGCCATTAGTGCTATTTTTGTATTCTCATCATTTTAGTTTCATGTATTTTATGCTTGTGACGATGTTTTTCATAAGATATTAATTTTTGTTCAATTTTGAGCTCCAGAAACACAAAAAGCTGGAAAAAAGGTTCTTTAATAGAATTATTTGTACGTCGGCAATTGTATAAAATCTATCTGTTGGTTGTCAATTTTTACAACTTAAAATATGTCCTTTATGCAATGTCTTAAATTATTTGTTTTTTCTGGTGTATGTAGCTTTCTTGTTTTGAGATATTTTTATGTTTCATATAGTTCCATTTGATGTTATAAGTGTTTTGACTTCTTGAAGAAAAAACTTATTTTGCAACGATTATCTTTACATTTAAAAAACCCGACTGCTTTATTGGTTAAATATTTTTTTGAAAAACTAGGTGTTCTTAGTTGATTTGGCGATTGTTTAAATGCAATTACTGGCTCGATATTATGAAAAACTTTAAAGATAGATTAAGCAAAAGATAGGTTTCAGTAACAAAAGAGATTGGTTTTTCGGAGCTAGTCCTTTGAGTTTTGCATTGTGAAATGTTTTTTCAATGAAAATGGATGTTCACATTCTTTTAAGTCACATTTTTATTTCCGATAAAGTTATTTTTTCTTATTGTAATCATAGATAAAAACTATTTTTAGAATTTTTAAAACTTTTATCAAGATTATAATGCATAATAACCCTCCCCCCCTTTTTTTTTTTTGTTCTTTGAATATTGACTGTTTCAGCTCTTACACTAACTTGATACCTTGCTTTTTCTTTAAATTTTTTTTTTATATTTATTTTATACTTAACTTTTCATCACATCTCATGATGATCCACTTCAGAAAGTATAAAAAGATTGCTAAAGCTGGCTGCATGACATAATAATGGTGTTTTAAAAAAACCGGTAAAAGGATCTAAACATGCCACTAAAAAAGTAAAAAAGAAGTTTAAACAAAAACTATTTTTTACAATACTTATTTGTTTTTAAAATTGAACTTTTTTTAATAAAAGTTCAATTTCAAAAACAAATTAATTTCAAAATTCAATTCAATTTCAAAAACAAATTAATAAAACTAAGTAATTTTTACTTTCTATAATTGAGACAGGAACAATTTTAGAAATAAAATGAGGAAGAGGGGGTCAATCCTTTCAAGCTCTCAAAACTAAAAATCACCCGACTGAAATGTGATAATTACCAGACTAGCCTACAATATCCCTAAAATAACTGACTAGAATTTGAAAAAAAAACTGACTTTTTTGGGGAGGTATAACACGCCTTCTTTGGGGAGGTATAAAGTCCCCAGCCCACTCTCACATACCCCATAAATTGTCCCTGAATTAAGGATTTATAAACTATTATATATCATTTTTAAAAACATTTGAAAACAATACAATTCTAATAAAAAATGTAAAAATCATAAAAACTTATCAAAATTACAGTGTTTAAACAACCATTCCGTCAGAATAAGTGAGTAGGACTTCAATTTGATTTGATTATTTTCTAAAAAAATTGAATAACTATCAATGTTTTCACTAAATAATCAAGGATTTCAATCTTAAAATGTAAAAAAAATATCCCGCAATCTTTTCGCAATTTATAATAATTTTTTTTTTAAAAACGCCTTCTTTACCAAAACGATGTCTTAGAGGCTAGATATTTTTAGGGTGTCCAATAAGGAGGATTGCCTTAGTGAACATAGTTGTTTTAAAAAAAAAAAATCTTTCTGGGACACACTAGTATGCTAACTACCGTTAAATACATATTGCAAACTACCGTTAAATACGGTCAACATTTTTTTATAATATTGAGAAAATTGAAATAACAAATCTTACATGTTCAAAAAGCATGTAAATAAAAAGAAAATATAAGCTTTACTTTATGATACAATCAAATTTTAAAATTAGCTGCAACTATTTTTTTTTTTTTTTTTGCAATCATAATACTATTATCAATATTATATTATGATTCATATTATTATAATAAATTTATCATTATTTTAACTTTAATTACAATCTATTAAATGATAATATAACAAATATTGGTATGAAAATATTTATACCGCTGTAATATATTATCTTAAGATAAAAATATATTTTTAGATCAACGTAAAAACGTAGTACAATATTAGTATTATTGTCAACTTGATTCTTTGCTTTATGCTTATACAGAAAAATTTATGCTCAGAAAAATGATGTACGTAGTACTTTCAATATTCATTGACAATATTTGTCTTGAAATTATTTTACAATAGACTCCTTTTAGTAAGATATAGGCTCTCATTAAATAAAGGATATTTTTACTTTAAACCAATTAAATAAATAATTAAAACAATATGCGTATTCTTTTTGTTGTTGTTGTTGATGTTTTCGTTACTTACTTACTAATCTTAACTTTTCTATGCAATTGACAGATTTAACGTAAAGTTTTAGCGTAATTTAACAGTTTTAGCGTAAAAAAAAAAAAAAAAGCAACAACAATAAAAAATTAAAAAAAAAAAATTATCTTTATTTTGTAAAAGAGGTTTAACACACAGCTTTGAAAACTGTCGTTAAAATGCCAACGACGGGATGGGTGGGGTGGTGGTGGTAGATGTACTCACCCCCCCCCCCCACTTTTTTTCTGAAGCATCTTTTTTTTCTGATTTTTTCTTTTTTAATTTCTACATAAAGAGAACTGTTTTTTTTGAAATTGTTAATGTTTTATTGTCCTCATAATGCTTGAGAGTTTTTAAAAACGAGGTCAAGTTTTTAACAAAATATGATTAAGTCCTCTAATCACAGTTCTGAATTTAAAAACAAAGTTTGTTTATTCTTACTAAGTTTAGTAAACATTAGTTTATTGAAGTTATTATTGTATCATAAAGTAAAGCTAATATTTTCTTTTTAATTACATGCTTTTTGAACCTGTAAGATTTGTTAAATATTATAATTATGCATTTTTTTTATAGTGATGACTCGTGGTCAATAAGCCAATAAAGAGAAGTTTTAAATTGTTTTTTAAAATAATGACGTATGTCTAACCACAGTTCAAAAGAATTATCGATAATCCTCTGTTGGCGCTAAAGGAGACCTTTGTATTAGGGATTTAATTTGTTTACGCCTGGATAAAACAGCATATTGCAGAACGGGAGTGGCTGTTCTTGACTTCTGGCTTTCGGTGCGAAGTAGAGTAAACGGTTGAGCTTACGGTATTTGTAAGTTATTATTTATTTGTATATATATTGCGACCAAGTGTTTTTTAAATTATAAGAAAAGTGTATTTTGGCTTGTTTTCTTCAAACCATGTAATTATTGATAGAAAACAAGCAACTGTCTAAAGGTTTATACGCTTAAAGATTTCATTTTTATCAGAAAATCATAAATACTAAATTATCTATCATAGATAATTTAGTTTAGTATTTAGATTCATTGAGAAATATAGATTCTGTGAGGTGAGAAATTTTATAAAAATACATTCTCAATGACTTTTTAAATCAAAATTCAGAATTCGTGTTACTTATTAAATAAACTTTATTATAAGTTTTCATTTGTTATGCATTATTTATAAATTATCAATCAGTTAAAGAATAAGTGAGATAAGATTTGTTTGTCTACTACTTAGCTTCTTTTGAAATTTGCTTTTTACTTTTTTTTTCCTTCATTTGAACATGCAACAAAATAAAAAACTTATGCTTTCAAAAGTAAAAATGTATGAAGCTGTATTGAATTTTAGAAACAAAGCAAGAGTTTATGCAGTAGACATTTGGTTTAGTAGATATTTTAGCAGTTGATTATTTTATCTTTATTAGTTTCAATAAAAACTTCAAATATTATTTTTTTAATTATTTTATCTGATGTGTTTATAAAAGAATAGTTTAACAGTTTAATTTTAAAAAAATATTAATAATAGTATACAAGTATCCATATATATATATATATATATATATATATATATATATATATATATATATATATATATATATATATATATATATATATATATATATATATATATATATATATATATATATATATATATATATATTTAAATTTTTTTTTTACTTATGAAATAATGATTAAAAATCACGATTTCATAAGTAAAAAAAAACTATTTTATATATTTTAAAAAACAGCTTTATTAAATATGGCTACCAATGCAGAACATAAAACCAAATCTATAACTGTCACTAAAAAGACTGTCAAAGTTGTAAGTAAACGAGATAAGGATGAGTATCCACGTGCTGAAATGAAAGATGGAAAATACTTACTGCCTTGGCAAACAGAAGAAGTACCACCTGATGGCTGGACCAACTTCAAATCATTTTTTTCACCTGATAGCAGTGGAGTACCAGGAGAAGAAGTATGTCTTGTCTTATTTTTATATGCTGTTACTAAACAAAAATAATAATTTTTCAACTAATGTGGTTTATATGGCTATAATATCTTGAAGTTATAAAATAAACAAAATGTTTTCCTCTAAAAAAATTTTTCTTTAAGTTTTTCTCTTTGATTATCTCTTTTTTGTAATTTTTACCAGTATCCTTTTTGTGTTTAGAAATTGAATGAAGAGCCCTTAATGCAGCTAATGAAGGCTGACCCACAGCGTATTGAAAATCCACCAGAAAATGGTATTCGAGTTACATGGTTAGGTCATGCTAGTGTTCTGTTTCAATTAGATAGTGCAAATCTTTTAGTTAATCCAAATTTTAATGCAAGGGGAATCAAGTATTATCACCCTGGAGATAATAAAAGATACCGACAACCTGTTTATACTGTGGAACAACTGCCACGCATCGACTGTGTATTTATTACGAACACCCATTTTGATTACTTGGACTTATCATCAGTTAGACAACTCAATGATCGCTTTGGTGAGATGCTTTTATGGTATGTGCCTATGGGTGTGTGTGATTGGATGACAAAGGCTGGTTGTGTCAATGTTGTAGAAATGGATTGGTGGAAAGAAGATGAGATTGAATTTATTGACCATACTAATGTAAGCATTTTAATTTATTGACTATGCTAATGTAAGCATTTTAATTTATTAACCATACTAATGTAAACATTTTAATTTATAATTTTAACTAACACTGTTTACCTAATTTATTCCTAAAAATTTTACAAATTTTCAATTCCATACACTTTTTAAGCAAAAAAATAAAGAAAACGAATCAATTTTGTTGTAATAAATTTTTTTTTACATAGTAACTGTCTGCCCAAACCCTAATTGATGTATGGGCCAAAGACCCTGCGCCTGGCATTCCAGTATGATGTCATTAGTGACATTTCATGCATAACAATATGTTGATTATTAAAAATTGATTTCATTTTAATCCGTATAGATTTCAAACTGTTAAATGAATATTTTCTTTTAGATAATGCTTTTTTATCTTTATAATTTTTCTCTTACAAGTTTTTTACTTTTTATTTTAAACATTTTTCTTTCAAATAATGTTTTTTCTTTATTTTAACACAACAAAATATTTATTGTTTTGTTGTTGTTTAAACAAAGCATTTTAAGTCGCTAAAATAAATGAACATAAGTTTTAAAACATAGCAGAAAATATAAAAGAAAAAAAGAATTTAAAACAGTAAAATGTTCAAAAAGACTTTATTAACAAAAGAAATAGAATAATACATAAAGTATGATATAAAGTATAACAAAATGTAAAGTATATTAATAATAGGTATAAACTAAATTTATTGATACTTTATAAACTTACAAAATTTTATAAATTTTTAAAGTGAAATGCAATAGTTGAATTAATTTTAAAATATTGTTTATTATTTTTAAAGATTAATAATGAAGAAGAAACAAAAACTACTGTATTTAACATTGCATGTACGCCATCACAAAGTTATCACAATCGCGCTTTTGATGATGACAATGCAGTGTTGTGGTGCAGTTGGGTTATTCGCAGTCCTCGCTATAAGATCTTTATCTCTGGGTCAACTGGGTATGCTAAAGTTTTTCAATCTATTGGAAGAAAATATGGACCATTCCACATGGCTGCACTACCTATTGGTGGTTATGATCCAAAATCAAGAAACGGTTACGGTAATGTTACTCCTGAACAGGCTGTACAAATTCATAAAGATATCTTAGCCATGTGTTCTTTAGCATTATCTTGGGGCACCTTTGCTCTTAGTAATGAGGTAACTTAATTTTTTTATGTCAATACTTTTTTTTAATTGATCAATCATCAATGTAATAATAATTTGCTTATTAACTAATAATAAAATTTATTGGTAAATAAATGCAATTAAAAAATATTTCAATTATTATAATTTCAGCATTACTTAGAACCCCCACAGCGACTAAATGAAGAATTAAAAAAATCTGGCTTGTCAGAAATGCAGTTTTTCCTTCTTAAACATGGTGAATCCAGACTCATTGAAATAAAAGAAGCAGAAAAAGAAAGTGATTTTGTACCTCCTGTAGCAATTGCATGCTCAAGTGATATGTTTGCAAAAAGTCATGTTACTGAAGATAAAAAGGTAAAAAACTAAGTTGTTTACTTCTTTCTTTTTTCTTTTTTTCTTTTTTTAAATTTATATTTTAAATTAATTATTTAGGATGAGAAAAGTGAATCAGAATTACTTCAGGAGTTAGTTGATAACTTCATTGAGGAAACTCAAAGTGAGCATCAAAAAGAACACAAAGAACATGAAGATCATCATGACCATTAATTTTCTTACCTGACGATAAATATTATTGAATACGATGATCGGAAATGATAGCAGCACAAGTTATTAGGAGTTTATCATTTTTGTATATTAGAAAGATAATCAAATAGAGAAACCTGCATTTAATTAATAATTTTTTGTTACAAAAATTTTTTATCGTTTAAGTTTATTTAAATTTCTTGGTATTTTCTTGTTTTATCAATAATTTATTCGGCAGTTATTTGCGTTTTATATTGTACATTTAGTATGACGTTTTTGCTTTTATATTAGTCATTTATAAATTATTTTTGTACGAATTTCCATTTAGTTTATTTTCATTAAACTCTCCTATTTGTAAATTTTAGAACCACTAACGCTTCACTTAGGCGGTTAAAATTTTTAGTTATTTTGTTTTGTTTATTTTAGCAATACATTTGTAAAGTAGTCTTCAAAGAATATATATGTTCTTTGTTCTGTGTCTCTTTTCAACATGTAATATACAGAATATCTTTGGTATGAAGTAGTTTTAGTTTTGTTATTGTATGTATAAAATTAGAAATGAAAATAAAAAGTAAATTAAATACTAACCTATTAAAGGTATCTTATAACATATCTTTTAGCATCCCCGCTAAATCTTTTCTTTTTAAAGTTTGCCTTTTTTTGTTAATATATAATAAACGAATCAAGAAATTAATTTAGTTTGTTTTACTATATTTACTAACTAAAAATCTAAAAATCTTGTTTTTAAGAAATAAACATTTAAGGTTATTTGAGTTAGTAAATATAGTAAAACAAAGTAAATAAAATTTATTGAAATTTAAAATTTTTTAAAGAATATACCAAGAGACTAGCTGGAAGCCAAAAAATGTAGTACGGTAGGGTATCACAAAATTTTTTTTTTCGAAAATCAAAATGTGGAAAAGTTCAATCGTTATCATTATAAATATTAGTAGCTTATAGTGAAAATTTCAGCCTTTTAAATCATCTCTAAAGTAAAGAAGGTGGTTTTAGTCAATTTCTATACAATAGAATATTATATTGCGGAATTTATTATTTTGTAGTAACTTTTTTTTATGTTAGGAGAATTTAGCAAACACATAATTATTTTTTAGTTATTTACACATTTTTAATTATGATAAATAACTAAAATCATTAAAAAAATAACATAGTTAATAATTTTAAGAAGACGTTAAAAATAGAAAAAAAGATATGTTTGCTAATTCTTCCAACATTCAAATTGCGCGCGGACATATGAAAGTTTTACATAAAAAGTTTTCATTTCATTAAAGTTTATTTCTTAATTGTTAAGCAACTTTTTTCAAATAATTTGTTAAGCGTTATAATAAAAAACAACTCGCGTATGCTATGTGTAATACGCATTTTTTTTTTGCTTGAGAAAAAAGTATTTTTAAATAGTATTATTTGCTGTTACGAAACAAACAACTGTACAGTAAGGAATATTTTATACTGTAAATTTATAAATATATATATTTATATAAACCATAATAAGAATAAATATAAATTTATAAACTGTGCTGTTAGGTATATTTTCAGACAATGATTTGATACAGGCTCCTAGAAAGCGTAGACAGTTTTATTTGTTAGGCTTTCCACTGCAAAGCCTTGCTCCAAATCGACTGGAGAAATGCTCAGAAGGTTTTACTTGCTCAACATTAGAAAAACTAGGTAACGTCTGAAAAGTTTCTGAATTTTATCTGTTTATTTTTACTTAATCATTTAACATTTTCTTTGCACTACCAAGATGAACTGTCAAGTTGGATGTGCCCTTGCTTCTGGAAAAAGTTATCTGAAATGCAGCAAGTTAGCTGAAGGAATGTGTAAGGAGAATTGGCAGCAGACAATCAGAGATGTTTGCATTTTAAGAGAACTAATAAACTTGTGGGGCAAAACTGAATTCGATAACAATTTCATACTCACAGAGCAGCAAATCCGAAACAAAATTACCAATATGATCAATGAGTACCAATCCCTAAAAAGACTCAAGACTCTAAGTCTACCAGAACAAAGCAACTGCTTGAAAGTAAACAACTTTCTAAATTAAAGCAAATTTTTATTCCCAATTCATAAGGCCAACATCTTTAACTTGATAAAGAATGATCCAATGAGGAACAAAGAGACTCAAAAAAAGGATATTGAATTCCTAAAGCACTGTTTCAAAGGACGCTTGGTCAAGATGGCGGGTATTGATAACACATTTCAAAAAAATGCTTGTTTGGCCGTGGAGAAAATAAGAATAATGGAAGGAAAAATGCGCTCGCAAGATTAAAAACTCAGAAATCAAGAATAAAAGAATAAAAGAAAGATAGAAGAACTAGAACCATGTACACAGACAGTAATAGCCTTCCAGACTTTGACGAAGCATTTATACCTCCTACAAAGACCCAAAAGATTTCAGGCGAAGTAAAAGTTAGTTTTCAGCTAAGTATGGATGAACTCTTAAACAATTGGATCTCAATCATGACAAGATATGATATTGGTGTTCAACCAGGAACCTGTTTTTTGACATCTCTTTATAAAGTTGACAGTATTAACATTGGAGGAGTTGAAGATCTCAAGATCAACTCTGGAAAGCACACACTTTAATAGAGTCAGAAGTCTAGATCATTCGAGATGGACATGGACAAAGTAAGAAGCTTAAAGCTAGCGGTTCTTTTTTATACTAAAATTGTAAAGCAGTACACCAGTTAAACATTTTCCACAAGTCATGAAAGAATAGCTATAATATTCTCCTGAAACTGACCCTTTAGATTTTCTGATTGGTATTTTGAAAGTTAAGAGCTCCAAGGAAAGCGACCAGGCTGTAGCCATTCAAAGTATCCTCGAATACTATGAGTTATCAGATCAAATCATTGGGGTCGTGCTAACTCCACAGCTAGCAACACAAGAAAGAACAACGGAACTATAAGAAATGTTATTGTTAATTCTTTGGGGAAGCCTGTTGTCTGGCTAATGTGCAAACATCACAAATATGAGAGACATGTGTCTCATGTCATGAAACTTGTTTTGGTACAACACAAAGTCCAAGCAAACACCTCTATGTTTTACTTCAGAAGCTATAGCCATAAATACATATAAAAGTTAATAAAACTTGAAAGAAGTGCCAAATTTGAATAGCCTTAGGATGCATTTAGACCAGGTACTCTTTGCACCAACTTGCAGTTGAAACTACAGAATTATGTACCATAGCACTTCAGAGAAACACTTTCCAAAAAGGAGACTACAAGTATCTTTGCCAGCTACTGGCTTCCTTCCTGGGTAGAGATACACCTAATTTCTTCTTTAAGCAGCCGGGAGCTCACCATGAGGCCAGATTTATAAGTGACTGTCTTTACCTTCTTATCCTGCAGGTGACACAGAACTATCATCCGAATGGTTCAAAAACAGTAGAGTCTTCTACTCTCAAGAACATAAACACTGCTACAAATTACATTGTGTTTTTCTATGGCCTATTCTTTCTGAAGAGTCCTATGGCAACTCCAACTCCTTCAAATAACCTAAAAGCTTTAAGATTACCAGCGAAGAAACGACATAGAGTTCGAAAAAAACTATTTACTCAGGCATAAACCTACAGACGTAAAGGAAAATATGCGAAGATAATATATAATCGCTTAGTGGTGAAAGAAATGTTTAAAGAAAGGTAGGTTCAAAGAAGTAATTTATTTATATTTTTCTTAAGTTTTTTATTTTTATTCTAATTATTATATTATGTTTTATTCGAAGACTAATACATTACGAGTTCAAAAATAACACTTAACAATAAAAATAATCAAACTAGTATGATTTTTTTTTTCTTTTACAAAATTTGAAAGCTAATACAAGTAAATACAGTTCTTTAACTGAAATAGATACTGATTGAGTAATAAACATTATATACCTGAGAAATTTCTGAAAGTAAAAATAAATAAAGATTAAATACATGAAGTAGTCAAATATGTCATAGTGTTGAATCATGAACTTCAGAATAGTGTCGAATATATTAAAAATGCATAATGTCGCAAAAAATAAGAAATATTGTCGCAAATGAATTTAATGAACAGTGTCGAAAACAAAACAAAAAAAGGAATAGTGTCGCAAATAGCAAAAACGGAATAGTATTGCAAATAGTTAACTTCAGCAATGGCTTACTTGTTTTACTTATCTTTTTGGCATACGGCTTTAACAGATAAAAACAAACAAAGAATAATGAAAGTAAAGATTGCTACCAAACCCCAAACCCTCAGTTGATATAGCGGCACAAGTTTTAAATAAAAACGGTATGTCTACTTTAATCTCCTCTTTATATATCCACCATGTTGAAAGTAAGTTAGCTTTCTAAATTGCTTTATGATTATTAATTCAGAAATGAGCAAACAAAATAAACATGTTTTTTTTTGCCGGTGTTTTAAATATGGATAGTATCAATATTAAAAGAAAACAAGTTTTGACATGAACTTTTGTCAAGGTTCGGCCGAACCAAACGTTCGGTAAAACAGCCGAACGTTCGGCAGTTTTGCCGAACGTTTGGCGCATCCCAAGTTCATATTCACTGAATTAGGTATGCGCCGAACGTTCGGCTGTTTTGCTAAACGTTCGATTCGACCGAACCTTGGCAAAAATTATCCGAAAATGAAAAAAATATAAATTTTGCAAAATATATGTTTTCTTATATTTGACTTCAAATTTAACTCTGGCATCTGTTAGATGCAGTAAAATAAGTTAAGATGTAGTAATAAAATGAGTTAAATTTCAAGTATATCACCATTTTTTAAACTTAAAATGTCAAATAAAATTTAAATAATTAAGATATTTTAGTGAACTTAAGTTTTTTTAAAGAGATGTCCGTTGTTGCTGTGGTAAAACAAATAAATATTTCTGCAGTTTTTCCATTTATGCTTATGATATATTGTGTTTATGTTTGTATATTTTTATATTTCTATTACATAATATTATAAAATAATAACTTAACAAGAAATAATTGAATTTTACGTTTTTGATTATTTATTTCTTTTCTAAACAATTATTTGATTATTTGAATAACTAAAATGTTGATTTGTTTACTATTGTTTTAATAACAGCAAATCAATTATTTTAGTCTTTTACATAATTAAATAATCGTTTAGTAAATAAAACATCAAAAACATAAGAGAAATTCAATTATCACTTGTTGTTCTCATGTTATAATGTATAAAGTTTATAATAAACATTAATTTTTCACCAAATTCTGCTGATTATCTTTTTCTATTAGGTTCATATAAGTTGCCATTTCAGCTCTTATACAGAATGGCAAATCACTGAAGTTAATCTTGTATTTTAAGTATGGGTTTGATGGATGTGGTTCTTTCAGCACCTTTCAACAAAAAGATTCTACTGGCAAGATTCCAGATGGCAGCACCTTGCTGAGTTTTGCAGACCAATTCGAATTTTATACGAAAGAGAAACAAAGGAAGCTATTCAAAAGAGGCTGATAGGATT